TAAAGTTGCTGACTCCCAGATTTTTGTGTTAAAATCCACGGTAGATTTGGTTTCTACCATGTCATGTCAAATGTCAAATACAGAAAAAGCCACTTAGTGCTCTACCACTTCTGAGCTGTTTAACATCCACAGAAGACTTCATCTCAGTCAGAGACAATGCACTTGACTCTCAAGACTACTATTTAAAGTTGACTGAGCCATTGTTGCTTTCAGGCTGTCTTCTGTGGTAAAAATACAGATGGCCACTCAGGAAGTTTGTTTCTCCTGGCTTGTAATGTGGGATATTTGCCTTAAAAAACAGCCTGAGATTCCCAGCCTTCATTCTGCCCTGCCACAGTTTGCATGAATATGGACTAGATCCCCACCAGTCACATTCTCTGTCACACTGCAGCTGTTCAAAACATGGTGTGGCTGTGCAAGTGGGTATTTAGAAGGAATAGTTAGTAAATACATCTCGGGAGACTTTGGCATCTTCCTTCCAGCTTCCTTCAGATAGGTATCTCTCACAAACCTTAATGACTAAATTCTGTAATCACGGAACCTTCAAAACTAACACATTGGCTCCCATATTGTAGGTCACAATAAATACTGTTGAAGGAATAAATAAAGGAGTAGCTGTTGTGTTTCTTTTAAGCAAACAAACAGTAAAGCTTGTAAGGAAAATAGTGTGTTGCCAGAATTATATCCAATCCCCTAAAAAAAAACAGTACTTTTTTTTTTTGACTCAGGGTTGAATAAAGGAGAGTGTCTAAATATCTCTGCTAGGGAAAAGGAGATAGAGAAACACTTGAGAAAGAAAATTTTCTGAGCACCATGACTGACAATAAAAGATGTAAGATCAAGATTTTGTCCAATCACCAGTTCTGTTTGTTGTATTTCTATTAGTTGAGATCTGTTTATGATCTAAACTTTTAGTGAATCTTGCCACATATCTATGCTTTGGGTGAGTGATACATGACTGCAGAAATGTATAGTGTTGACTGGGGTTATACATTCTATTTGAAGATTGTTGGGGCCTTATGCAAATTTCAGTGAAATATCTAAGGTTTAGGTAGTGTCAGCTGACTCCTGAGTGACACATGTACAAAACAAACTAAATTAAATAATCATTTAACAGATAATGTATCTTCCTCTATTTTTTTACATATATTCAATAAACAAGTTTTCCATGGGTAAAAGAAGAAAAAAAAGGAATAAAAATACTTCATAATATAAATATGAACACAAACCACATACACCTACACCTAGTATGACAAATCCCATGAAACAAAATGTTGGCTCCTGATGTTGGTTTGAAATATCCTCAGGAGCTTCCCAAGTGTCATTTGAAACTGGTCTCTGTATTAAGAGGACAGGAAGAGCCCCAAAAAAGAGGCAGGCCCCTCCAGATTGGTAGGCAGCAGATTTAACAAGCAAGGGAACTTACGTACTAGGTTTGTCTTGGGTGGTTGAAAGCCAGTACATCTTTACACCTGCTGCCAGAATCTTAGAAGTTTATATAGAAGCCTTATCTGGGCTCAGTCATGTATACTTTACAGAAAGTCTCAGCAACACGGGACTATCTCAAGGTCATGTCCTTGGAACCAGTTGTGGGAAGGGCAAGACAAACTCTAGGCACATTCCAAGGACAGGGTCAGGGGTGAGGAGCCTTGATTGCTGGGGCCTAGCTCGTGGGTCGACCAGCAGTCACGTCCTCCCCATGACCTTCCCAACAGACATTCACATCCAGGCACTGCTTGATAAGTGGTCCTCCTCTTCCCCTGCATGGGGTAATGCCTCAGCAGGACTCAGTTACTTGTTTGAGGTCAGGAAGATGGTAATTCACAAAATGATGGCTGACTTCATAAGCCCTTTGTTGTGTCTATGAAACCTGAGCCCTCTTCAGGGCACACACCCCACTCAGCTGTCTGGAGGGCCTCTGGTTGCCTGTGCTCAATGCACAGCCCCCAGCATGTGGATCCCCTCCTCTCTGAAAATGAAATAACATAGTGCAGGGTCCTGAGCCCACCTTGCATCAGCACAGTGAGACGACGTTTTTAGCTGATGAAGGAGTTGTGGGTATCCTCCTGGTGAGGCAACACCCTTGCTGTGGAGAACCGTAGCTCAGAAGAAACACAGTCTGTGCCCCTGCTCTTATTTATCTTTTTGTGGACAGTGTCTGGGGAGGAGCACTTCCCATCCCACTGAATCTCAACTGTAGCACAAAGCTGACTCATCCTAGCAGAACGGTTCAGGTCTGAGGATGGCTTCCTGGAGGTGGGGCTGCACCTCGGTGGCACTGAGCAAGTGGGGCTGATGGTCAGCCATGCCCAGGGGCCCCTTCACAACTCTCTGCTGCCTTGCTCTTGTTTCTGAAGATTCTCCTGCTTCCTGGGCTCACACAGAAATTAATTCCATAGAAGGGCCCTGCAAATGGATGTGTGTTTTCTCCATTCTGCATTACATTCTAGTTGAATGGGTCTTACTGTGAGGCATGGGGGTCAGGAATCCAATCATACCGTTAATCTTGTTCTAGTTTCTTCTGTCTGTCTCTTCATAGACCCAGCCAACACAGGCCCTGGGGGATGAGATTGGCATCCCTGACAAGGCCATGCGAAAGCATGACCTTTATTATCCAGAGACTTTTTTCCCACAGACCTCAATATAGCCCCCATCCAAGCTTAGCTGAGCCAAGTTCAGTATTTAATTTTCTTAGGTGACCTAATTTTCTAAGGCAGAAGTAAGGGGCCTAAAATAAACGAAGTATACAATCTTCTTTGCTCCTTTTTAGTTGGCCAAAATCCAGATATTTTCCCATTTCAACAGGGAAAAATGTGGAGTTCAAAGAAAAGCTTGTTAAAAAGAGAGAGGAAATACGGTGGAGAGGAGCCAGAGGTGCTGATAGGAGGTTCTTATTCCAGTGTTCCTTGTCTTTTCTCCTTTCCAACCTTGGTTGCCAACCTGAGGCCTGTGGTCATAAGACTGTCTTCCTCTCTCTCCCCAGAGTGGGAATCGGTGAGTGTTTTCCACACTTTCATATATAGAAGGTTCCCCAAGCTTTGCCTTTGCATGATAAATTACTATTACTACTACTACTACTACTATTATTAATTGAGGTGACAATATAGAGCTTCTTGTATGAATCAAATGGTCATTACTTGAACTGACTTTGAAGACCATAGTGTGACTCATTATTTCCCATTTGCAATCATGATGAGTTATGTTACCCAATCATGCCCCTAAAATAATTAGTTTAGTGGACAAGGGCACTTACATTATAAGTCTCTTATTTCACTTATGGGCATATATGGAAATCTGGATCACAAATACATTGTTTCCATTCAGAAATAATTCTCTCCTTCTGGTACCTGACACTTTTCCTTCATATTCTCTCAAGAAAGCTTCACAGAGAGAAAACTCTAGATGACTTTATGTTTATCTACTTGAGGTCTCCGGCCCAGTATTCCTGGTGAGTATGTCAGTCTCCACAGGGCATCTCCTTTAATTTAGTCTAAATGTAAACCCAAACCTCATCTGAAAGCGCTCCAATTCTGCCAAGGAATTTTTTTATTGTATCTTACCTCCCTGGTATCAAGGAAAGAGCATGCAGGAAAACCAACTAATTTAATGGAAGGTAAAAAATAATTATTTTGTAGTGTCTAAGTCATAAATTCTCTATTGCCTATCCCAGGGCTTTTTAGCTAGAAATTCTAGAAAGACATACTATTTGACATTTGTTATCACATCATTATATAGAAGAAAATTAAAATCCCAAGAAAGGAAGAGAAAGAGAAATGATACACTTAGTATAATGTCAAAATGAACAAAGGTTTATGGTTCAGATATTGAATATTGTTTTCCCTGTGGGAGGATGGATTGGTGAGCAGATGAAGGAAGCAGAGAACAATCTGGAGTTTCTTCTAGATGTCAGTCTTTTTCAGCTTTCCAGGGTCATACATCTTATAGCAGATTCTGACTGTGCATCAAATTTCACTTTGTGAAGTTGAAACACTCACAAATGAGATGACAGTGAAGGCAAGGGGAAGGATAACAGTTGGAATGTTAGTAGTGAATGTTAGTAGTGAAGCCAACTCATCAGAGAGACAGTATTTGTAGGCATTGGGTACACATAATGAAGCCAGACAATTATTATTTTTTTATTTTAAAAAAATTTTTTACAATTTTATTATGTTATGTTAGTCACCATACAATACATCATTAGTTTTTGATGTGGTGATCCACGACCCATCGTTTTCATGTAACACCCAGTGCTCCATGCAGTACGTGCCCTCCTTAATACCCATCACCGGGCTAACCAATCCCCCCTCCCCCTTGACAATTATTTTTTTTTTAAAGATTTATTTATTTTAGAGAGAGAGAGCGAGAGCACATGCATGGGAGTCGGGGAAGGGCAGAGGGATAAAACCTTCAAGTAGACTCCCCAATGAGTGCAGAACCAGACATGGGGCTCGATCTCATGACCCATGAGATTACGAACTAAGCCGAAAGAGATTCAGTAGCTTAACCAACTGAGCTACCCAGGAGCCCCAGGAGACAGACAAGTATTGAGTCTCATCTAGATCACCTATTATCTGTATTACTCTGAAAAACTGACTTAATTCTCTACACCTTATGAGATTGTTATGAAGGTTAAATGGATTAAATCACATCATAATTGCAAACAGTACCTGACACTTTTAATGACTCAATGAATTAGTTAATATAATATTGGTAATAGTTACTGTAATAGAAAATAATCCCTAGATTATGTCAATCTTCCTCTGTAAAATCTTGTCTAATCACCTAATGACTCCAATATTTACCTCTAAATGAATGCCATTGAGGTTTGTTGAATGTGCTAGTCATTTTTTGTTATAATTTCATAGAACTATTTTCTGATATTTTACTTTTCCTCTATATGTTTATTTTATTCTAGAGGATATAAAGATAATGATGATACAGTGATGATGATGAATAATGACACCATTGATGACAACTTATGCTCCAGTCAACATCAGATATTAAAAGCAAATATGAAAGTCACATTTTGATGGGGCAAAACATACGGATAATGGCTGGGCGATCTCCTTTGTCTTGGCACTATAAACGAGAGGGTTGAGCACAGGAGGGACAAAGAGGTAAACATTGGACATGAGGACATGTCTGTAGTGTGGGGCATGCTTCCCAAAGCAGTGCACTACTGAGATCCCAATCATAGGCACATAAAACGCAAGTAAAACCAAGGTATGTGACACACGAGTGTTGAGAGCTCTCAGGCGTTCCTTGCGGGAAGCAATGGCCATGACTGAATGCAGAATGAGCACATAGGAGAGGAAGATAAGAAACAGGTCCATGCCAAATATGGATACAAGAACAAAGAGTCCATAGATGCTGTTGATAGTGATATCAGCGCAGGCCAGCTTTATCATGTCTGGATGCAAGCAGTAGGAGTGGGAAAGAACATTGGATCTGCAGATAGGCAGCCTCTTGAAGAGGAAGGGGAGGGGAAACAGGGTGATGAAGCTCCGAGCAGTCACAGCTATGCCTATTCCAGCACTAACTCCATTGGTGAGCAGAGTGGCGTAGTGCAAGGGATCACAGCTGGCCACATGGCGGTCAAAGCTCATGGCCAGCAGAATCCCTGACTGCATCATGGAGAAGGAATGAATGAGAAACATCTGGATCAGGCAGGCATCAAAAGCAATACTGTGGGCATTGAGGCAGAAGGTTCTGAGCACAGTGGGCAGTGTGGCCATGGACATGGCTACGTCACTGAAGGACAGCATGGACAGGAAGTAGTACATGGGCTCATGGAGGTTGGACTCCACTTGCACGGCTCGTAGGATCACAGTGTTGGCTCCAACTAAGGAGGGCATACATCACACAGAGCAGCCCTGCTAACCAGGAGTGAGAGCTCTCCAGACCAGGGATGCCAGTCAAGAGGAAGGAAGCAGGATGAGTGACACTGAACAGGCCCACGGCAGGGGGAAGCCAGGGCACCTTGAGGACTTCTGAGAGTTGCCCTTACTGGAGGACAAGAAGCCAGGGAGTAGCACACACAGGGCATGAAGTATACACAGTGGAAACCGATGCCTTCCTGAAATCACTGGTTAGGGGAAAACATGGGCAAACTTCTTTTCTTCATATTTCCTGATCATCAGGCTACAAGCTGGGCTAATAATTCTCTGTCTTATAGATGAAGGAAGACACTGATAAATGTGTCACAGATCTCAATTAGGTACAAGAAAATCTTTAATTCTTATTACGTTAAGCTATATTATCTACAATTTTAATGTGTCCTTGGAGGAGCATTGAACAGAAATAAGTCCAAGTCCTAGGAAGTTAGTAAAAGGACACTGATAGTTTGAGTCCTCAGGAACTCACATTATTAATCCCTCACCACAGAGACACAGCCTCGGGTACTGCCTTACTCAGCTCTTCTTATAGTGACACATGTTACTGACTGCATTCCCAGAACTTAGGCACAATAATTTTTCCGTTGGAGTGATTAGTTTGTATTCTCCTGTTATTCTCATGTTCTGGACGCTCTTTCACCTTCATTGCCTTATGATGGATGAAGATAGACAGGGCTGGAAGGCTTTCCATCTGGCAGAACTGTTTCAGGCCAAGGCACCCTCCTTTGGGAGAGGAACTCCAGAAGTATTTTCCATTTCCCCTTCCTCTCCCAACCCTAACAAAGCTAAGCCAGAGTATAATCTCAGAGTCCTTGATGATCCGGATGGCGGAGGAAGGGCCCCGGGAGCCCCAGGTTTCTGAAGTCCCCAGAAATGCTCCCAAGAGGACTAATGCAGCATTATCACACTGGGAACATTCCTGGCATTTCAGAAGTGGTATAGGATTCGGATTGCCCTGTGGTTGACAAGAAGTCTGTGGCCACTCCTCTTCACGATTGATTGCATCCCTTTTGGTCATAGAGCTCAGTCTGTACATGCCTGTCTCCCTCTATGTGGTTGCTTGGGATCCACCCCTGATCCACACCACTCATCCCTTTTTTCTCACCCCTGACTACAATTCCTATTCTACATACAACCCTTAGTGAATGAATTTAGGGGGAAAATAACAGAAGACAAGTGAGCAAAAGTGAAGAGAACAGAAAGAAAAGGGAGAAGAAACCAGGCTTCAATGAGCAGGATTCTCTGCAGGCAGGACAAAAGCCAATCTGCATGTAGGGATCTAAGTTTTAGTGTTTGTGGAAAACAGGCTGCCTGACAGTCCCAGGATCACAGTCTTTCTCATCCCCAGTAGCGACTCACTTTATGGATTGTCTGGATGCATGTGAAGAAAGGAAATCAGTGAGAGAGAAGCAGCATGTATTGAGCACATTATGTACCAGATACTCTGCAAGCAACTTTATATCTATTTCCTCAGTTAATCCTTGACAGAGGTGGAGGCTCCTGGCTGTGAGCCTGACTCTCAGTGCATGGCCAGTAGGTGGTAATGCCTCAATTTGAGTAAAGATATGTAAGACTCTCTAATAACTTCTTCAGTCTTTGAGGCAACATTAAGGGGCTGGAGAAGAAGTTGAACAGGAAAATAGAGTACACATTTCTGAATGGAGATTTCAAAGGTACTCTTGGACCAAAGAGATGGTCATAGGCAGATTCATGGGGCAAAGGATATGCAGAAGTCCCTGTCTCCAATGCTGGACTCAAGTTCCTATGCCCCCAGAACTCAGAACCCTTCCTTTCTCTGCAGCCACATAGGGACCAGGTGGTTTAGGGGAAGGGGCGCTGGAGGGAGTGAGGAGCCCAGGGACTAACCTGGCTCCAGCTTGCCCTGGCTCTGTGAGCTTGGAAGAGTCTAGTTCTCTTTCTGTGTGGAGCCTCTTCCCCCTTATCACTCCTTTTTTTGGATATATTCTATGATCCTTTATGGCTCTGATGTTCTTTTACATTTTAATTTCTAGTCAAAGAGAGAATGCCTATGAAAGTTTGTTGTGCAAGAAGGCCCAGATAGGCAGAGATGGAGCTGAAGGATGAACAGAGTGCTCTTTTGATGAAACAGCCTTGAAATCAAGAACAGGATTAGAAAAAGATTAGAGATTCTTGGCCAAGTCCAGCTCCTGTAAACTTTAGGACTAGCTGATATCTCTACTCTTTTATTTCCTGGGTAACTTTTACATACCTTATCTCAGAATTCATAATCAAGTGCAAAGTGTTGTAATGTGTTCACTCAGCTCTTAGTTTGATCGATTTTGTAGATTGTGAACACCTTGCTCCGGGATTTCAGAAATTTGCCTGTGTTCTGAGGTGACTTTCCTCCCTGAACTGCTACAATGTTAGAGTCCTAGCCACATGGATGCCAAGGCCATTGAATCTGCAAGGTGAGCTATGTGCAGAAACACAGTGCATTACCCAGAGTTCCACAGTTGGTGTCAGTGCCAGTCGAGGGGTTTTGCACCTGCTCTGCTCACTCTACTATAAGCTCCTTTCTGCTAACCTCCAGGCACTCTCTCCCTCTTCTGCTCGCCCACCCGTTTCCCAGTTTCACTCTTAGAGCAGGGTCAGGAGAGTCAGCTAGCTGCCCCCTAGTGGATTTCAGAACTCACCAGAAGCCAGACAGAGGAGAGACACTGAAGGAACAACACACCCTTCTCTCTATCTGCTAGAGTGAATTCATGCCTGCCCATTTTGTATCTAATTCTTTTTTTTTTAAAGATTTTATTTATTTATTTGACAGAGAGAGAGAGCACAAGTGGGCAGAGTGGCAGGCAGATGGAGAGGGAGAAACAGGCTTTCCGCTGAGCAGGGAGCCGGATGTGGGGCTCGATCCCAAGACCCCAGGATCATGACCTGAGCCGAAGGCAGCTGCTTAATGGACTGAGCCACCCAGGTGCCCCTTGTATCTAATTCTAAGCCTCTGAAGAGAGCAGAGTGATGCTGCTTTGTGTCTGAAAATTCACCAAGAGGGTTTTAGCCTCTAGAGGTCCTTAAAGACCATTGAGAATAAAGCATGCGTTCCTGTTTCTGAAAAAGAACCCAGCAATTAATTAGCCAGTCCAATTCTCTACCCAGTGCAAGACACCATCAGTGATGGCTGGGCACGGGTGTAAGAGAAGAGTTCATTATCTCTTGGGTGATCCCAGGATTATGTAATGTGTTGACCAAGCCCAACAAATAAGATATAAGCAGAAAAATTTGCTTTACTGATCCCTTAAATGGATTGAATTGGGCTAGTTCTTTTTTCCACTCTGGATGAAAACTGAGTTTCCTAAGATTTTTGGTCACATTCAGATGATAGCACATCCTCTGGTGAGCCTAGTGGGTGTTCACAATGCACAGGCTGATGTAATGGTCAGACGTACCAGCGTTCAGACTCACACCATTTCTCTTCTCCCAGCCCTCACTTGCTAACCATGGCTTTTGAAGTCCCCTTCTGAAAGGAAAGAGAAGGGACAGTGTATGATTCACAACCTATGAGTGTTTCAGTTGGCTGTTATCATGTTACTCTCTGTGTTAAATGTTTAGACCTGACTCTCTCATATTGTGTTTCATAGGTTATCCATGAACCTTCTTTCCCTATTTTACTTTTCTTCACTTGATTTAAATGAATATTTATTTATTCTCTATGGCTGCTTATAACTTCATCCAAATATAGATCACCCTTGTAGAACCATATGCTCTGTTGGACTGGATCTAAGACAACGCCATGACAGCTGTCTCTAGCATACAGCTCATCCAGCTCAACCTTCCACCACTGCAACAAATACCCACCCCCAAACCAGCACTAGGCTCTCATTCCAACAGCATGGGAACTTTCATCTCTCCATTTAGATTTACAGGCATGAGTAAGGACCGAGTCTGCCATATCTCTCTTTCCCCAACTTTTGGGGGAAGATATGGTACCTTAGTAGAATCCTTGAGGTGCCTCTCTGTTGACCCAAGGTAAAGTGGGATATACCCCTCTATCCTTTTCTCTTGGGTTTGGGGAGTGATGTTGAAGACTTAGTTCTTTCTAATAAATCTAACCAAATCCTCTAATTCCCAACTCTTATAACTTTAATAAGGGTAGAATGTTTCAGTCACAGCACAATTAACCTTCAGGGCTGGATAAATCTTTGTTGTAATGTGATGTCCCTTGTGTGGTGCAGTATTTTAGCAGCATCACTGGTTTTCACACAGCATGTGCTCCACCCCAGTTATGACATCCAAAAATGCCTTCAGACATTGCCAAATGTCCCCCAAGGGACAAAGCACCCTGGTGGAGAACCACTGAATTCTTTTTTTTTTTTTTAAAGATTTTATTTATTTATTTGAGAGAGAGAGAGAGAGCGAGCACATGAGAGGGGGAGGGCCAGAGGGAGAAGCAGACTCCCCGCTGAGCAGGGAGCCCGATTTGGGACTCAATCCTGGGACTCCAGGATCATGACCTGAGCCGAAGGCAGTCGCTTAACCAACTGAGCCACCCAGGCGCCCGAACCACTGAATTCTGAGAAGGAGTTTAAAGTTTAGCTAACTATTTCTGTGAAAACAAATTCCAAACTTCCCCATGGTTGTTCATTAAGAGTATAGTACTCATTGTCTTCATGCATTAGCCATTTTGAGATATGAAGAGTTCATTTAAACATTCTCTTCCATTTAAGGGTACATCTCAAAGTCCTGGCAGATTGGAGTATGTTCTCTCCAAAGGCCATTTTCTGAATTGCAGTTGTGCCATTTGGGATTTGCCTGTTTTCTTTTTCAAACCCTTCCCTCTGCAAGGATTGCAGCTTGAGTGCAGACAATGCCTTCATGGCTCCCCTTTCCCACCATCTTGGTTTACTCCCCAACTTAACAACATAGTTTAGAAAGAGGTCTTACCGCACCTGTTGCAGGTTCTCAAACACTACTCTAGTTCAGGTTTTGTGCCTCCGTCATTGTGCCCTATAGTTTTCTTTGCATGAAATTCTGCTACCTAAGCTCTTCCTGCTGAATCCCACAGCTGTAAGTTCATTATAAGCTTTATCTGCTCTTTGGTTCTTTTCTTAATGTGTTCTGCTTTTCGTGATGCCCTAGGTTCTTTTCATTTCTTCATTAAAGAATTTATCAAATACTACTGAAATCTCTACAACCTTAAATAAATTATGGACTCCAAGTTATATTCATTGTCTTATCCCCAGTACCTAGCTCAGTGCTTGGGTCTTGGTTTTCTTTTAGAATGAGTAGATGAAAAAGATTCTTGCCAACTTCATAATCACAGAAACCATGTCTTACATAGGGTCTGGAACCTCTTTGTGTGGTATAGGTATTTATCAGCTGCTTTTGGGTTGGAATGAGCCTGTAGACGTATACACATTCAGGGAAATAGCCAAAAATGTTCCCATAAATTAGCAGTTATCTCATGTGGTCTAACGGTTTCATCTACATTTATTGACTCTCACTGGTTTTCAAAGTTTCTTTAAAACTCAGAAGTTGAGAAACATTTTCAGAGGTGAGAAATAATATGAGCAGTATGACCAGCCATTTTCAGAATATTACATGGAATTTGGAATCTATCACCCAAAGATTTGAACTTTATTCTGGCACAAGTGGATTTTTTCTCAAATACTTCCTTTTCCTTTATTATACCTGAAATGTTGCTGATGTTGTCAATGAGGAGATTTATTCACAATTTTCTCAGGCTATCACCACAAAACTCACTTTGGGGACTATGAAGAAGAAAGGTATGTGAT